ATAAGAACATTAAAAAGACAAAATTTAATCAAAATATTAACTATTATCTTTCAATGATTTTGTTTTTCTTCTTTTTATTTTTCTGTATTTTTTGTATACCAAAAGTATATTAGTTTTATATAAAAATAATCTTTATTGAGAACAAGAAATTGAAGCTCAGAGAGGTCAGGTAAATTTCTAATTTTATTTCTCTTGTAAACAGCAGAGCTAGGATTCTAATGCAATTCTGTCTGACCCAAATAATATTTATCTTTCATCAACGCTTTCAATCATCATCAAAAACCAAGAAGCAAACTTTTCATGGCGCAATATTCTTTCCCATCTCTGCAGGTCCAGAGAGCCTCTTTCTATGCCAAATAGTAACAGTCTGCGGCTGTTTTTTGTCTGCTGTATTTGCCCATGTACCTATTTATACTTATTTAAGTCTCTACTTCCAGAAAGAGGAAAGATTGGATTCCAAAGATACATACACTACACACTATAGCAAAATAAAATAAGTTAAAATGAGGTATGGTGTATTTGATTAGCTAATTTAATGTTCTCACAAATACTGCTGAATGAGTCACAGTTTTCTGAGGATGTGACTTAGTCCCAAGCTCCTTTTGTTTCCTTATTTATTTGTATTTATTTATTTAATTTTGAGAGCGCGCACGAGAGAGAGAGAGAGAGGAAAAGAGAGAGAGAGAGAAATATCTATGTGAAAGCAAAGCATCAGTTGGTTGCTTCCTGCATGCCCCCTTCCGGGGAATCAAACCCACAACCTGAGCATATGCCCTGACTGGGAATTGAACTGGCAACCTTTCAGTGCATGGGACGACGCCCAACCAACTGAGCCACACCAGCCAGAACTCCTTTTGTTTTATCATCAGTGCCTAGCAGAGTCCTGGGCACACAGATGTTGAATGAATATTTGTTGATTTGACTCACTAGCAAAGCTGTGGCTTCTGGAGAAGTGGCTAGCTTTTCCCCCTCTTACTGTGACTACCTTAAAAGGGTATAAGCGAGCCTTTCCTTGCAAAGGCCTCCATTGGGAATGTAGCACGATGACCAAACATTCATTCATCTAATTAATGGAAAACTGTGACGTCCACTGGAAGAATTATATTTGTAAGGAAAGCCTTAATTTATTTCTGTCCTTTTTCTTAAAAATGGGCAAAGTGACAGGATGTAAAAGAGGCACTGATTCCCTCTTCATTTGGACAAGGTGTATGGGAGACTGTCACTTAATGTTGGCTCCTTTGTGTTGCATAGGATGATACAGTGATTTCCGTTCAAAGACGGTGCAGTGCTGACAAAGCAAATGCCCTCTGACTCCCGCTGTTAATCACCTGCCTTTTCCTGGGCTTTGCATCCATGGCCTCACTTAGGATAGCTGGTCACTGTGAAGTTGGTGGGGTGGAGAATGGCAGCTCTCCATGCTTCTGAGCTCAGAAAGTCAGTCAGTCCTTGAGGCTTTTAAGGTATAAATCCATTTTCTCCAGATGAATCTGAAGTTGTAATATTATAATAACATTCCAATGGAAGCCCACTTTATTGCCCAGCACATTAACAAGCCGTTTGATAGAAAGTTGTTGGTACGACATTTCTTAGGAAGTACCTGTTATAAATGATGATATGCTAGGAAGTCGACGTGGAAAAAACTATCTTTAAATTTTTTCTCCAAATATAGCTTTATATTCTGGGAAACTTTGCTGACGGTGCTTTATTGCCTCCTTCTTCCACGTAACAAGGGTTTGCCACCTGCTACTTGCCCAAGGGGTTCCAGGCAATGTAGATATAGAGATAAACAGGGCAGGCCAGTGTCTGTCTTCAGGGAAGTGACATTCTTGGCAATTTGTCCTGTGTGAAGTCACAACATCATTTAGCCTAACGTTTTGGCAAATGATATTCTGGGCTGATATTAAGATGACTCACACAGTAACAATTACAAAAAATTCCAGCAATAATAGTGGTACATTTATTGAGTTCTTATTCTCTTCCCAAAATACCCAAATAAGAACCTTTGATACATCTTATTTCACCTAGTCCTCATAATAACCTTAGAAGGGATACTGTATATGACCAATTTTTTTCATAGGGAGAAACTAAAACTCAGAAAGCTTAAATAATTTACTTCAAGTTCATAGCTAGTAAGTAGTCCGGCCAGAACCCAAACCCAGAGCATCATGCTCTTAACCACCATATTGTACCTTCTTTATCTTCTAGAATGCTCTTTTTCAAAATTTCAAGTGTCTGAGTGTTACAATAAACTGTAAAGAGGGTTTCCCCTTTTCTTTCCTTCAACACTGTTTATTGCGCAGAATGTTGAGAATGGGGAAATGGTATGAAAAGTAAAGCAAAGGAAATCAAAACATCAGCCTTGGATTCCACAATCAGCATGTTTGTGTTAGAGAAAGACTCAGAAAACCTGACCTGGCTCATCTGATTCTAAAAGGAGAGATGAAGAAATCCCCCCTTGTTCCCCTGATTCTGCCTCTGGGGTAGGTAGATGTGCGATAACAACACTAAGACAACCATAAAAATAGTGGTTAAGAGCCTGGGTCCAGGGTCAAAAAGGTGTATATTGAATTTACATGAATGCTACTGAGCAGACTCAGGTGGGTTGATTCTGCCCACTTTTCCACTGAAGTATTAAGTGTGGTTTTGCAACAGGGACAGGGGAGGGAAAACAACAAAGTGAGAGAGAAACATTGATCAGTTGCCTCCATACAAACCCTGACTGGGGATCAAACCCCCAACCTAGGTATGTGCCCTGACCAAGAGTTGAACCCATAACCTTTAGGTGCACAGGATGATGCTCCAACCAACTGAGCCACATTGGCTAGGTCAAGTCACTTCTTTTGAGTCTAAAACCAGGATTATTTGCAATGTACATGCTGCCTCACATGATTAAATGGCTTTAGTGGTAGAAATGAATTGATTTGGGAGTTTAGAGGAGAAAGTAATGATCAAGTCTATTGATGTAAGGAACATTCAAATCTGTAGTGAATGTTTATGAGTTTACTTGAGCCAAACTGACGACAATTGCTAGGAAGCAAAATCTCAATGGACGGACAAAATGCTCCAGAAAATGGCAGTTTTACCAGTTATTTTGTACATCAGAATCAAAAGGGAAGATGTAAAGAGGTTACATGAAATCTATTTGGTGGTAGATTAGGGAGAAAGCAAAGTAGGGAAATCTCTGAGATTGGATAAAAAGTAAAACAGATAGACACATACTTCTTTTACATTGGTGGTATAGGATAATTAACAATTAACATTTATAGCATATAGAGAGAGTATGCAGGAGAAGATAACCACGAGGGGTTCTGGGATCTGTGCTCTGGTGTGAGGCTGTAGAGTGATCTGGAAAAATGGGATCACTCTGACATTCCAAAGTTATGTTATTATAGATGCAAAAATGACAATAGACAGGCTCACATAAGGTAATGATCATCCTTTGTCAAAGAAAATACCTGCCTAGGATATTATTTCCCACAATGACTTGCTTTTAGTTAGGAAGTTTTTTGTTTGTTTCTTTGAATATATTGTTATTGATTTCAGAAAGGAAGGAAGAGGGGGAGAGAGATAGAAACATCAATGATGAGAGAGAATCATCCATTAGCTGCCTCCTGCATTCCCCCTACCAGGGATTGGGAGATTGAGCCTGAAACCCAGGCATGTGCCCTAACCAGGAATCAAACCATGACCTCCTGGTTCACAGGTTGACATTCAACCATTGAGCTACATCAGCTGGGCTAGGCAGTTTTCATTTCAGACCATCCTATGTGGTTACTTTAGGTCTCTGAGTTTGTAAGATCCACCATACAGGCCCCCCTGAGCCTGTCAGGTCTAGTATGTGGCCCCTTTTTCATCCATAAGTTATATTATAGACATGTTTTGACCCTCAGAAAGCTTGGAAAAACCTTTAGATGTCCCCTTACTTATTTCTCTTTCCTTCAGAAAGAGATAATATAATTATTTTGAGAGAGAGAGAGAGAGAGAGAGAGAGAGAGAGAGAGAGAGAGAGAGAAAATACATCTTTTAAAAAGAAGAGTGGTACCTTTTAGTGTTTCCCAACCCTTTCCGAATAAGCTCTTATAATTCCTCATTTGGAATTTTACTCATCTAAATCCTTATTTCAAAAACCAGGAAACAAGTGGAATGTTTCCTCAAAATCATCAAGGCAAGAAACCAAAAATTGTCACCTAAGAGAATCTATACTTGGCTCTTCTCATCACCAAGCATTTCATGAGCACTGACCCAAGAGACCACGCCACCTATACACAGCTACTGCTTTTGACTTCTCGGTGCTGAAGTGTTAAAATGGCAGGTGTAAAAGATAATCTGCATTTCATAGCCCCATTCAGTAGACTCTGTCCACATGTTCATGCTAATCTCATAGAGATGTCCTTTGGGGATCGGCTCATTCTATGAACTTATGAGTGTAATAGTTTTCTACTTAGGAAAATGAAAATTATTAAGATACAAAAGAGTGGTTGGTTGGGGGAATAGGCAGGGAGAAGATATTAGAGGTGCTGATCCTTAGTAGGACCAGATCCACAGGGGGCTAGATCTCTCCATAAACATCTGTGTTCAGAGATGCTCCCCCTGACTTTGTCTCCTGTGTGAAATCCCAGTACACGCTCTTAGAGCCCCACAAGTTTATCCTTCCTAACATTCAGTAGCAGTTTTAATTGACCACTTATTTTTGTGACTGTTTAATCCTTAAGGGTTTCTTTCTGTGTGGAGCCTTCACAGGACCACAGGCTCTATTTGGGTAGAGGTTAGATTTCTACTCTGTTATTACTGTATCCTCCAGTACTAAGCACTGTGATTATGGCATCATATAATGCAATGTTCAAGAGATATTCATTGACTAAATGAATGGGCATTTTAAGCTAGTCTGGAATCTTGTTTTAAACAAGGTACTTCGGTTTAGCCCAATCTTTATTTATTATTTATTAGCTACTAAAAGACAACTGATAATCACTTACAATGTTCTTCTGTTTGTCTTACAGTCAACTTTGACCACTTTGAAATTCTGCGAGCCATTGGGAAAGGCAGTTTTGGGAAGGTGAGAATCCAAATGATTAATAGGGCTATACAATTCAGGGAACAGAGCCCAGGATGTTCATTCAGATTACCGAGTTACTGGGACCACCAGGAATAATTCAGAGATGTCAATGTAAGCATTAAACCCTTTCATGTGGGATAGATGCCACCTAATTTCTGTTCTTCCCAAGTCGTACCATGTTTTTATTTTTTTTTAAATCCTACCATGACAAATATACATACACAGTCTAATTTTTTGGAAGAAACTTCTAGATTCAAACCCTGATTATTTGCTTCCTAGTGGAGATGTATCTTGAGAATATTTCATATTGAACTTGCATTTTAAAAGTATTGCTGTCTACATTATCAGGCTTTATATGAAACTCTAAAAATACATAAAAAATATGGACATTGTGTTTCATGTTATCCCTTTCTGAAAAGTCTTTTTTGGTTCGTTATATCACTTATGGGTACAAACAGAGATTCTTTGCACAATATCATTCAGCCTGACAGCTTTGCCCATTCATTTAAGTCACTCAAGCAGAATGAGGATGGCATTTGCTACGGGAAGTTTCCGGACAAGGAGGCAGCTATTTTCTCCAAAATGCTGTTTTAAAAAAGTTCCCAAAGCAAAAACAGGCAAATTCGTTTGAGAAAGCAAAGATTTAGGAATTTATCTTGCACATGGGAAGAAAATGAAGTTTTTTTACTCTGAAATCAGAACTAAGTGGCAATTTTAGCGTCAGAGAATTTGCAAGTGATAAGGCCTCCAAGACATGCTGAAGAACGCATCTGGTTCTGTCGCTCATCACTATGATCCGTCATCTCCCTAATCACTTTCTCACTCTGGTTTGCCCCAATAGGTCTGCATCGTTCAGAAGAACGATACCAAGAAGATGTATGCAATGAAGTACATGAACAAACAGAAGTGTGTCGAGCGCAACGAAGTGAGAAATGTCTTCAAGGAACTGCAGATCATGCAGGGTCTGGAGCACCCTTTCCTAGTTAATTTGTGGTAAGTGGTTTTTTAAATATAAATTTTAATTGATTTCTTAGAGAGAAAGGAAGAGAGAGAGAGAGAGGAAAAAACAAACATTGATGTGAGAGTGAAGCGTCGATCTGCCGCCTCCTGCACACCCCCTACCCCGGCAGGGGGATCGAGCCTGAAACTCAGGCATATGCCCTGATAGGGGATCCAGCTAGCAACCTTTGGGTGGACAGGATGATGTCCAACCAACTGAGCCACACGGGCCAGGGCTGTGGTGAGTGGTTTTATTGCACCTCTGAATGGAGATACCCCGTCTTCACCCCAATACTGTGGTATGAGCGTACCTTGATTTCTAGGTGTGCAATTGCAAAGTCCTTCTTAGGATCTTCCCCCAAGGACTCTTGTTCTCCTTGGTGTCTTTGACTTGATAATGAAACAAAATAGCTGTTTTATTGTCACCAATAAGTACTTCTTGGTCTAGTTGTCACAGTTTCTCTTGCCCTTGAGATCAAGTTTTATTTTTTAAGAGCATTGTAATTAAATAGGTTGAAGGAATGAGTTCAGATGTCTCCTCACTCATTAGATACTTTCCCCCATTAACCGTGGGGCAGAGACTTTAGGTACAAAGTATGACATCACTGGCTGACATGAGGTTGATCTATAGAACTTGTACTAAGGGCTTTCTCCTTTAAATGATTGGCAATTAGAGAGAGGTCTCTGGTTTGATCCCCAGTCAAGGCACATGCCCAGTTGCAGGCTCAATCCCCAGGAGGGGGCGGGCAGGAGGCAGCTGATCGATGTTTCTCTCTCATAGATAGATGTTTCTATCTCCCTCTCCCTCACCCTTCCGCTCTCTCTAAAATCAACAAAAACATACTTTCAAATGATTGGCAATAAAGCTGATTTCCTTGAAGTGAGGATAGATGCTGCCTTTCTCTCCATATAGGTTTTAACAGAGCTGGAGCTACCTTAAGTGATCTGTTTTCAAAGCCATTATTACAACCCCACGCTTAGAAAATGGCAAGGCTTGCCTTATCTATGACTTCCTGCTCTTTTCTTGTGTGTGGAGGTCTTTCTGTGGCCGTCTCATTTTGCTCTACGTTTGAAGGCAGCCATTATGCTCAGAGCCAATTCTTAAAGCTAATTCCGTAGGACTGTCATTTAAATATGCATACCAAGCAGTGCTTACTTGCCAGCAAAGGCAAGAAAAAGGTCTTTATCCAGCGAATACTAATGGAAAAATAATTGACATGTCACTGTGCATTTAGGGACATTCCTCTGGAGGAACGAGTGCATGAAACCTGTCTCTCTCCATCTTTAATGAACACACTTCACTTACTATGCACTTTGCTCAAATGCTATCCACTGCCATTGAATAGAAGACGGTTCCGTGTGGCTTGGAAACAGGTCTATTATAGCTTCTGCACGACTGAGACATGGGAGAGTCTAATTTTGGCTCAGGTTCCTGTGTTCAGGCAGTATTTTAGAGTGGCCCATTGAACACGCTGCCATGGAAAGAGTTAAACAGGCAGCTCTTTCTTCTCCATCCTTAGCAATCATCATCAAATTGCCTTTTTTCCATCTCTCTCCACCCTGAAAATGAGGAAGTGCTCTCACCTCACAGGCTCTTTTTGTCCAAAGTCGCATTTTCCTTCTTTCAAAGTTCACTCAACTAATTTTCTCTTTTTAAGACCAGGAGCCCTTCATAAAGACAGACTTAGCCTTTTACCCTTCCCTGCTTGTCTCTCATCACTGAGTAGGTAAGGCTGGTTTCATTCTAATCCTGTTTTTTTCCTACCACATGGGTGGGTGTTATGAGACTTTAAGCTAGCCACAGTTTTCAGAATTTGCAATCTGCTGACATGGTATCATTCCAGATGACTTTCTGTTCTCTATGGGCGCTGACTTGGTGACAACATAACGTCTACCCTGTCCTTCCATCTTCTCACACTGAGTCTCACAGTGGAACATTGGGCACCATTAACATTGAGAGAGGAGAGAGAAGAGACACCCCACCCCTCATCCCATGATTCTAGCCCCACGTTCAGAACTGAAAGCTGGAGGGGTACCATTCCTCAAAGTACAGCAGAAAACCTTTGTCTTTCAAACCCTGAGCTAAAGATCTTCTAATAAATGCTGTCTGGCCCTAGCCAGTTTGTCTCAATGGACAGAGTGTCAGCCTGCTGGCCGAAGGGTCCCAGGTTTGATATCGGTCAAGGGCACATGCCTGGGTTGCGGGTACACAGTGTGGGGCACACGGAAGGCAGCCAATCAATGATTCCCTCTCATCATTGATGTTTCTATCTCTCTCTTCCTCTCCCTTCTTCTCTTAAATCAATAAAAATATATTTTTAAAAAAATGCTGTCTGCCTTAGTAAGTACAGCACAGTAAACGTAAGTCACTCTTTCCACGACTCTTCAGCACCTTGCAATACTTCTGGCGGTGTGATTGTGAGCAATCTTTATCATTAAGTCACATTGTTCTAAGGTAGGGTTAATGGATATGACTTGGGTTGTTTTTGTGAATGAAATGAGACAAAGTGCTATGCTTAGTGCCCAGCACGTAGTAAGCATCTTACAAATTCTAGTTCAAGGGAGGGGGGGAAAAAAAAGGACATATATGTAATACCCTTTGTAATACTTTAAGCAATAAAACAATATAAAAAAAAGAAATCACAAAGAAAAAAAAATTCTAGTTCCTTCCCTTGCCCCATTAAGGTGAAGCATTCTGAACATGCTCATTATTAAACACCCAAAGTACATTTAAATGATGCTTGGAACAAGGCATCATGGGAAGTTGTCGAGGGTGGGGGGTGGGAAGGAGGAGTCTTCAACTTATTCTCTATAAGAGCTTGTTTGTCTTACTTGGTTTTCCACCCTCATTCTGCAAATCAAACAAAAAAAATCAAAGCATCCCCAGTATATTATGTACAATTGAATCAAGATTTGTGTCTTGGGTTTAACTGGACTACTTTTACATTCCCAAAGCTTCAGGAGCCAATTTTCTTAAGTACTGTACGGTGAGTAAAATAGCAGCAATATTTTTTTGAACTCCTTGTACCCCTTTGTGTATTCTAGTTTACTCTAGTTTATTGATATGCAGAATATGCTTCTCAATATTGCTTTCAATAATCTTCTCATGTATTCCCAAAATGTCCCTTACCACAGGGATGTGTTCAGAAAATTCTGGGTTTCAGGCTGAGGGAAAACACAAATTGTTTCCTTTGTAAGCAGGTTTATTTTGTTTAAGATAGTACGTACCTATATGGTATTTGAAAACTTTTCTGCTCATGTCAGTCAAATTGGAAAGCATACAAAATCACATCGAAAAACAGAAATTTTGCAATAATCCTATCAGCTTGAAATAATCACCCCTAAGGCGTTCCTGTGTACTTCCCAGTAAAATATCTGCATTCGGTTTTCTGTTTTTGATCATGCATTAGCTTTGTTCACTTCTTCATTCATGTATGTGTTTACTGAGCATCACAGACAAGCTGTAATTAGGGTTGCCAGGTAGAATACAGGATGTACAGTTACATCTGAACTTCAGATAAATAACCAACAATTCATAGTATATGTCCCAAGGATTGCACAGAACATATTTTAACTGGAAATCATTCATTATTCATAGTTCTAACTTAAGTGGGCATCTTGTGGTTTTATTTGCTAAATCCAATGACCTAATTGTAAGAGGGACCCACACTGCGGGGAAGCCATGTCAGCAGGAGTGAACAGAGCGCCTGACCTGCCTGACATTTCCAATACCCAGGAGAGGCCGACGTGGTCAAATGGCACATGGCCCGGGCCAGTGTGGCCCGGTTGGTTGAGTGCCCTTCCATGCAACGAAAGGTCACAGATTCGATTCCCAGTCAGGGCACATGCCCAGGTTGTCCACAACCGGGGCATGTGCCCTGACTGGGAATCGGGGTATGTGCAGGAGACAGCTGATTAATGTTTCTCTCTCACATCAATGTTTCTCTCTCTCTCTCTCCATCTCTCTTTCTCTCTCATATCTATAAAACCATATTTAAAGAAAATGTCACATAAATATATGAACTGTGAAAAGGACATGAGAAGTATAAAAGGGAGTGTGTGTGTATGTGTGTGTTGAAGGGTTTCGGGGAAGGAAATTCGCTAGCCTGAGAGCAGCAGTGTAAAGAGTGAAAGAACATTCTGATTAAAATTCAAATCTTCCCAGGCTCCACGAACCTGGCCCCTCTCTGAACACAGTCATCAGATGTAGGCCAGGTTATACAGAGAAGGCTGCCGACAGGGCTGGCATACAGGAAAAGCAAATAAAGTCTTCCTGCGGGGCCCGCGCTGAGGGCTGCTAACAAAGCCCTGGCAACCCACAGCCTGCAAACAAATGGGCCCCAGCCATGCCCAGCACAGCCGGTTCCCCAGGTGGCTTTAGTTAATTGTGATTGAATCTGCAGCTGCACACAGCTCCTCCGGCTCCACTTTCTCCTCAACCCAGCTCCCTCCTGACTCGCTTCTCTTGCTCCTGTGAGCGGAAAGGGTCCACGTGTCATTTCAGCAAATTAGGAGATGAGATGGCCTGTTTCCAGCGGAAGGGACCACTTGTACTGGGCGTGTGAAAAGGGGGTCCTGCCGGATGGCTGAACGGAGCTGAGTAGAAGGGTTCCCTGGAAGACACCCCCGTCATCTGTGACTCAGAAACCAGTGTTTCTTCAGGGAATCACAGACTATGAGAACTCAGGGTAGACGCAGGGCATCAACATCAATAATAATAATTAATAATAATAATAACAATATCGCAATAGTAAAAGTGTTCCTATCCATGGCGTTCTACTACTTTTTGGGTTTTACATAGATTATCTCATGTATTCATCCTAACAAACTAGGTTTATAGGGATTATTATTCCTGTTTTACACTTCAAGAAATGGAAGCTCAGAGAGGTTGAGTAATTTTCCCAGAGTCGCACAGCTAGGAAGCGGCAGAGCCAGGACTTAAACCTAGGAATCCTGACGTCAAAGCCTGTGTGTGCCCTCCTGGCTATACTGTA